GGATGTAGGATTTGTGGAAGGACGGATTCTGCAAAATGTGTGGATTTGTCACATTTTTGGATCTCAAAATTTTGTTATTTGGATGTGGTTTTTGAGGTTGATAGTTACTTTCAAAACAAAAATACGACGATAATGCTTTCACCAACATGAAAGAGACATTATTAGATGGGCTTCACGGACCCTTTCCAGGGTGGGTTTTTGGATCCGTGGGACCTACTCACCCTCATGATTTCCACCCTCAGTTTTTGAAAAACCGTCTATTTGTAGATTTGGTGCTCAAATCCATGTGCCGAATCTTACATTCCTCCTAATAACTTCACTACCAATCCTGTTGAAGGTTTCATGTCATGCATTTAAATCTGTATCTTTGCGAATTGTGTTCTTATGATTAATTTATTTCTTGAGAAACTCCTATACCGAGTTTCGCAGCTTAGATTCTTATTCTGTTGCGCTGTTCTCCCTGCAGGGGCTATGTCTTTGCCGTCAGTGTGCACAGAGTTCAACTTCTTCTTCAGGTACTAAGTGTTAAGCGTTTTCATCACCAACAGCAGCAACAGCAGCAGCCAAACTCTGCTACATCCCAGGAAGAACTCACTCAACCCGAGATCAGCGAGATCTGTGACTATTTCAGTCGTCGTGTCGCGTCTGAGCCATATGATGCTTCCCGTGTTGCATCATTCATCACCCTCCTCACACTCCCTATATCAGTCCTGAGAGAATTCCTGAAGCTAATCGCGTGGAAGAAAGGACTTGTACAGGCGGCTCAAGGTGGTGGAGAAATGGCTCCTGTACAGAAACCCCGTATCGAGCTATGCCTTGAGAATCACAATGCCGGAGGAAATCAAGACGATAATAGTTCGTCAGTAGCCAAGAGCAATATCCACTACGATCGGCCGCATAATTCGGTCGATTTCGCACTCACCGTGGTCCTCGACCCAGCTCATGTGCCTCACATCAATGCAGCTGGCGGTGCAGCTTGGCTGCCCTACTGCGTCTCAGTGAGATTGCGGTACTCATTTTTGGATAATCCGAATGTCTCTTTCCTCGGGATGGAAGGAAGCCATGGAGGGCGAGCTTGCTGGTTGAAAGGTGACGAATGGGAGAAGTGTAAGCAGCGGGTTGCCAGGACGGTGGAAGTGAGTGGTGGTTCTTCAGGAGGGGAACGTGATCTCAGTCAGGGAAGGTTGAGAATAGTAGCAGATAATGTGCAGAAGACGTTGCATTTGTGTCTGCAGGGATTGAGAGACAGCGGCAACGGTGGAGTTACTTCGAGCCCTGGGCTGACATGAACGACTCTGATGCTTCGAGACATCTAAGACGTGGTTGTGATTGTTGGGTCTTTCCTGTGGGATCATCGTCTCATGCAATTTTGTCGACTGACTTACCGAGCAGAAACACAACTGGAGCTATGAGGATGAAGGCTTGGACATTTGAATGGATAGGGTGGTGGGTTCCTTCCGTGAAGTAGATTTTTTTATTTTATTTTGTGGGGCATCTACATAATCTTTTAGCAGGTATCTGAAAAAGACGTAGTCGGGTTGAAAGGTGGGTTCCATTCGAGCATCTTGTCTTGCAGCAAAGTCGGGTCCCTTGTACAGAAATGATACGCAGTTTGGATTATTAATTTGTAAAAAAGAAGTAACGGGGAAAAATTGTATGATTGGAGTTTGTATAATTTTTTCTGGACTTCTTCCAGTACTAGTTTGGATGATTAATTGAATCATTAATTCTACAACTATAGTATGAACGCTGATCGCTGCCAAGATAAAGAGAACTTAAGAAAAGACAACATTAGTGCTGATTACTGCCCATGGTAAATAGCCAAAGGAACCGTCATCTCTACCGCAATTCTGAGTCTCCGATTTGCCCAATATGAGTAGTGTTGATTGCTGCAGATTAAGACGGTGAATGCTCAAGTAAAGCCAAAACCTGGGACAACTAGGCAGAGGAAAAACAGCAAGCAATTCAACATCAAAATGGTGCCGAACCTTGGAAGATACCCATCGAAATGGGCTATAAATCCACCAGCAGACCAAAGTTGTACCTCATCAAACACATTTCAAAATCACCTGTCCAAGATATAATAACAGCAATGGCTTCAGTAGCTGGAAACAAGCTGATGTTGATGGTGGTGTTGCTGATGGGGATCTATGCATATGGAGCATTCTCCGCAAGACCCTCGGTGCATCCTGTTAGCAGCATGAATGAAAGGTTTGAAGCATGGATCGCGCAGTATGGACGAGTTTACGAAGATGCAGGAGAGAAGGCCAGGCGCTTCAGCATCTTCAAAAAGAATGTCGCCTTCATCAATCACTTCAACAAGTTTGGAAACCAGACTTATAAGCTAGCCGTCAATCAGTATGCTGACTTGACCAACAAGGAGTTCAGGGCTGCTAAAACTGGATATAAGAAACCTGCCAATCTCATCAACTCTGGCACATCATCATTCAGATACGAAAATGTGACTTCAGCGCCAGACACCATGGATTGGCGAACCAAAGGAGCTGTGAATCCCATCAAGGATCAAGGCCAATGTGGTAAGCTTACTAAAAGAAAGTCCAAACCTTTTCCATCTTCCTGCCATATATGTTGTACCTTTATTAATTGTGTCCCCAAAAAAATCATCGCAGGAAGCTGTTGGGCATTCTCTGCTGTGGCAGCGGTGGAAGGAATCACAAAGATCTCAACTGGGAAGCTGATCTCTCTTTCGGAGCAAGAATTGGTTGATTGCGACAGAACCACCAATGACCAAGGCTGCAATGGAGGCCTCATGGATGATGCTTTTAAATTTGTCAAGACCAAGGGACTGACAACCGAATCCAAGTACCCTTACTCAGCAGCAGATGGAACTTGCAGCACAGTCAAGACAAACTCTCCTGCTGCCAAGATCAGTGGATATGAAGATGTTCCCGCGAATAACGAGCAGGCATTGCTCAAGGCCGCAGCAAACCAACCTATCGCGGTGGCCATTGATGCTAGTGGCTCTGCCTTCCAGTTCTACTCCAGCGGAGTGTTCACTGGAGACTGTGGAACAGATTTGGATCATGGTGTGGCTGTGGTAGGGTATGGTACGAGTGACGATGGTACAAAGTACTGGCTGGTGAGGAATTCATGGGGGACCAGCTGGGGAGATCAAGGATACATCAAGATGCAGCGTGACGTTGGTGCAAAAGAAGGCCTCTGCGGCATTGCTATGTCAGCTTCCTATCCTACCGCATAAAAATAGTAGCGACGAGATAGCTGAGAAATCACCATCACTGTTAAGAAATATATGTGCTATATATGTGGATTGTTATTTGTGATCCTATTTAACTGTCTAAGCATTTGTGCTAGTAGTGGTAACCTATTTGTATGCAACTGCATTGTATCCTGAGTTTAAAATAAGAATTCTCTTCAAAGTTTAAAATAAGATCATGGCATTAGTTAGAACTTATGTGATGAATTTCTATGGAAATGCATTCATCTCCATGGCAATGGAAGCAAAGAAACAGCACGACATATGATATCTCCACCTATATGATAGTCCTTTTCAGGTCGAACTGAAACTCCATGGAAAGCATGAAATGCAACTCGTTAGAATGCTTCTTAAGCAATGAGGAATAAATTCATATACATGGAAAATGGACTGTAATCACTCGATGAACCAAAGTTTTTTTTTATGAATGATGTGGGATTTCATTGCTGACACATAATATGTGTCAATAGAATCAATGTTGATACAAAAAAGTGATAACAAAAGAGTTATAAAGCATTTAAACATGGGAAGCTAAGAGCATCATTGTAGTTGATATTACGGGACATCAAGGATCAGCCTCCTAACATGAGAGGACTAGTAATTTGGAATAGGACAAGTAATTTTCAGGGTGGTTAAAATGTAAAACCAAATGTGTAGCGCTAATGTAGTAGGAAGAAGGAGCATCTTCAACCTCTTCAACACCATCGATGGCCGGAGAAGAAGGACAAAGACAAGTGGTTGTTCCACCTACTCTCTATGAGTACTCAAAAGCCAAGACCATCCAACATCACCTCAAGTATTGCTTCACCACCAACGACCATAGAGATTCGAACCCAACTCATCCAGATGATGCAACAAGCAGCGATATTAGGAGGAACGAATAATGATGATTCGGTGCAACACTTGAAGACATTCTTAGAGATCATCGACTCCATACCAATAGATGACGCTACCAATAATGAAATTCGACTACGACATTTCCCGTTTCCACTTGGAGGAGCAAAGCAGTGCCTCTACTACCATCCACCAGGCACCTTCACCACATGTGTGGCTCTTGCACAAGCATTCATTGAGGAGTACTTTCCACCATGGAAGTCGAAGTAGTTTAAAGACGAGATTACACTATTTCAAAAGAAGGAAGGAGAGATGCGTGGAGGACATTCCAGGAGTATATCAAGGCATACCCCCATCATGTATTCACGCCGTAATAAATTGCAAAGTACTTCCCTAAAGGCCTCGATGAAGATACCACAATGATGGTCAACCAGTCAGCCGATGGAGATTTCACAACAATGACCGGAGTGCAATGTCTTAAACCTTGAAAAAGCAAACAAAAAATTACACTGAATTTTTTTATCCAATTTCCGGTCGTCCATCGTCAAAATCCGGTCATCGATTATTTCAAAAAATATATTGTGGTGTTAGATAATGAACATAATTATTTGTTTATATAATAATATTGATTTATTTCTTTTTGCGGTAATATAGAGAAAACTCCGGCTTCCCGATCTCAAAATACTAACTTCGCCTCTATTCTCTCTTCAATTTTTGTAAACTCGTTTATGATGGGGTGAGGATCTAGCAGACAAGGCTCCATAAGAATAAATCCTAACTAGCAACACCATTACTAAAATCAGTGTGTTTCCAGCTACCTGTGTTTGAATATTTCAAGAGAGGTGATGGTAGAAACTAGTCTTGTAGACTGAGTCATTGTGACATCCGTATAAATTCTTTGTAGTTCTTTTATATATGAAAAGTGGGTACACTTTATTGTAGCTACTGTTTCATTTTCTGTCGTCTTCTGTGCCTCCTCGGAGAGCTTCTCTCTTGCTTGCCCAAAGCTTCCCCTAATCCCTTTCCACCCTACCTTGCCAGCCGTACTCCCAGCCATGCGTTCACCTTTAGTCAGAAAATCCAAAAGGCCACGCCTTCCCCATCATGTCACGACTCCGGTTTGCTTCTCGAGGATGCAGCTCCTCTCACACGCCACCTCCCATGTTAGCACGTTGTTCTCCCGTATCTCTCTTCTGCCGTTGAGTCTCCTTTTTCAATCAGTATATTGGGAGAGGAGCGAGAGTCAATTGGGAGGAGGAGGGAAAGTAGAGTATTGTCATCTCATACTCTGTTTTCAGAAAGGAGAATCATTGACGACAAAGGCAGAGGAACAGCGAGGCTGCTGCACAGCTGAATGATGTAGTCGGCATCGATAGAAGGAGGAGAGGAGGCGGAGATCCGACTGGGAAGCGAAGGAAAAGGAGAGCAGGCGGCGTTTGGGTTCGGGATTATCCCTATCCTTTTCCTAATTTCGTTCTGCACTTCCTTTTCTATCGGGTACTGACTTATTTTTTGATTTATTGTGCATTCAGGATTGGGTGGCTATTGGAAGGAGTGCCTCACCCTGATTTCGGGATTTGGTGATTCTGATGGAGAGGTTATTCTCTATGGGTTTTTTCTAAAACTAAAGGTATCAGCTCATTTAGTTTCTGTATGTTCTCAAGTGTAGCTCTATCTGTTAGTGAACTTTAATTTGGGGGGATTGTTCCATTTCTGCTGCAAGGATGTTGGTGGTTTGGGATACGAGCTGACAGAAAGGTTCTAAGATTCGATGATCAACTAAATTTGAACTAAAAACTGCTTCAAAATTGAAAGCAGCAGCAGGTATAGGGTGATAAGGTGTTGTAGACCTTGCTGTTTTCCTTTTACTAACACTATTTTTTTTCTTTTTCATGGGTGTAGAAAGTTCTTAGAGCTGATCTCTAATGTTCCTACAGTCTTTTATTTTTCTTTAATATTTCAAGAAGCTGTTTATACATTGTTCGTTAATTTCTTTGTTTAGGTATCTTACAGTAGCTGCAAGATTTAGAAGAGGCCCAGCAGAAGAGGTGATCAAAATAACAGCCCTGGAATGCTATTTACTGTCTCTTTTCTTTTTCCCCCAACTGTTGTTTGATTCTCATGTCTGCTTGCTGTTGGTCAGGTGTCTGAAAGTTGTTTGTGATCTACCCAGATTGTTGATTGGTTTATGTGAGAACTCAAAATTGAAACTTGGGGAAATTTATGTTGCTGTTGTATTATCTTGCTTTTGTGTTGCAATTCTGCTGCTACTAGCTGCTATTTTGGCCCATTCTTTATGTAGTTGTTCACTTATTTTTGGGGTTTTCATAGACCGCGGGTTTTTTGGGGAAAGAATAGGACCAAGGTTACTAGGAAGAAGGATGAAGCAGTCTGTAATCTCCTCAACCTTTTAATGTGATCTTGCTATTTGTTCTGTTTCCCCTTCCATTAAATGATGCAATCTAACTGATTATGGGATTGGCTATGGCTTATACTGTGCACAATTAGGTTCCTGAAGTGATGTACAAAGTACTAGAACAACCCATTAAAAAGGATGAACTACAAGGAAGAACAGACATCTCTCAAACACTGGAGGAATTATGGCTGAAGTCAAAGATTCAAGATTTTATGCCAAAACTTTTGCTCTCAAGCTCAGAGAAATGGTACTGTTTCCTCCCTTCATATACACATAAACCAGAAATGTCCCAAACACAGTTAAAAGAAGCTGTTTCATTTTTTTCTTTCTTCTTCGCAGGTTTGACTAATGGAAGAAAGGACGAGAACATTTGAAAACCCAAGAGTATATGTACAAGCATGTGGCATCAGGTAGCATACCATAGTAGCTCCACGGCCACGAGTGCAGCCGTGAGGCTGCAACTCTCCCTTATTACTTCTTGGATGGATCATATGGAAGTGCTTTGTTTTTAGTTTTTCTTCTTGCTATTCTGAACAGGGTACGCTTCCGCAACAGGGAGATAGCAGAGTCTCACCAGAAACGTAGAGCCAGAACAATGAAGTCGTTGTATCCTGGGTTGTCACAACCCTCAAAGACAATAAGATGGAGAATCTAATCACCCTGCTTTGGTCTTCCTCTGCATAATTGTCTCGAGTTCTCCAAACTGGGTAAGCGTTCAAGCCCTCAGTTTGCCTCCGAACAAGTTCGATGGATTCCTCTACAGCAGCTTCTGTTTCCCTTCACTGTTGGGTTCAATTTAGTGTAATATTGTGTGATATTGGGTTACAGTAACCTCTATACTGTTGGGTTACCGGATACAAGGAACCCTAGAGATGAATCAAGTGCAAACCCATCCAGTTAGCCAAATGGAAGCAGCCTATGCAAAGGAGACTGCATGCTTATGAAGTAAGCTTTCATGAGCACATTTAAGAGTTTGTGTGCTGGTGAAGTAAGCATTCTGACTTAAGAAATGTGCTTACTCATATTATGGAATAAACGTGAAACTATGATGTTATTTAATTTTCAGGAACAAGAACACATTCAATCACTCAAGCTTCCTAGGCAGTGGTGCTACATTAGCTGCATCCTGCAAGAAGGCTGGTTGCAGAGCAAGGAGTTCATAAGGTATGGCTCTCAAGAGCTTTATCAGTAGAGATATGGTTTGATATAATAAAAGAAACAAAAAAAAACCTTTGTTAGCGAACCCTGACTTTTTCTTAGAATAACTTCTGAAACAAGCAGCTAACCTTCCTTCCACTATTTACCGACTTTTTTTTTATCGCAGTCAATCACTCCTTACAGTGGGCTTTTATAGCCCAACCGTAGATAATTTCAAAACTTTCATATCCTATCTGAAGGATAATGGTGCCAGCTTGGAGAACATTTGTGAAGTTCATACGCAAAAAGATGCTGAAGATGTATGATAAAAAGCAAAAATTATAGTGGCTGGAGTTTCCCCCGGAAAGCATTGCTGAAGTTTGTACTCGCGGTGATGTTCGGCACGTATTACTGAAGTTCGGCATATCTAATTACTCCATTTAGAGGTGGTGCCTTTTTTTGTCTGCACTCAGTGGTCGCCAAAAAAACTCTTCTGATAGCATGATAGGTTAGTTCAGTTAGTACGGATCAAGAGCTTCACCAGTAAGGATCACTGAGAACCTGCTTTTGTTGCTCATTATCAATGGTCGTCGACATTGCGTAACTGAAAGACAAGTTGTTGAACAGGTCATTTAGTAAGCTGAGGACCTGCTCTTTGGTTACGAATTGAAGATAAGCTTATTTTCTTCTCTAATGAAGGTTGCTCAGATAAGATAACTTGGGTATGGATTGAATTAATATATGAAATAATGAGTTTAACGTGTATAAAGGTATAACTTTGAGGTAGTTTCGGTGTAGATTTCGAAAGCTGATGAAGAGTAAACATGGCTAAATACTTTGAGGTAGTTTCGGTGTAGATTTCAAAAGTTAATGAAGAGTAAACATGGCTAAATCTCCCGCGGCGTAGCCGTGGGTATTAATACTAGTTTCACTAAAAAGACACAACAATTTGCATCCAATAATTTATTGATATGCGATATAAGATCAATTATTAAATCTTTGTCCATAACTCTAATTATTGAAACCAACTGATTATTCGCATAATTATTGTTTTGAAGGTTGAAGTGCATGCTGGCATAATGTGCTAGGAGAAATTGCTTTCGGCCAGTTATCCCATGTTTTGACTTTACTCTATAGCTAGTCGAGTTCACTAATTCGCTTCATGTAGCCAGGCTGCATTCATATTAGTTAGCAAAATTGGAGAACTCTGAATTGTGGAATAGAAAGACTGTTACTTTGTCTATTTACTAGCGCTATTATCATGAAGCCTTTTTCTTTTAGTTTTAAAGCTTAAAACTATTAGTTTACATTGGTTGATTTTTCTTCAGACTTTCACCATTAAATCTAAAACTGTTAGTTCAGTAGGCAAATATGACAATCAGATATTCATGCTGAGGGCCTTGTGCTGGAAGTGTGAATATATTGTTTGCTGGTTGTGGATTGGATTCTGAATTGTTTTCACAATACCGATAGTACATCCAGCCAAAGAAAAGGCTGTCAAACTTGACCACCATTTTATCCGCAACCTTGGCCCTTAATTTGCCAGCAGGCATTTAAACCATCAATCAAAATCATGCCATAATTTGGAACCCACCAATTAAAATGGAGTACTATAAAATCACCACAAACCGAGTTGTATTTCATCAAACACTTTCCATAACACCTCTGAAATAGTTAAAATCACTAGATAACAACAATGGCTTCAGTAGCTGGAAACAAGCTGATGTTGATGGTGGTGTTGCTGATGGGGATCTATGCATACGAAGCATTCTCCGCAAGGCCCTCGGTACATCCTGTTAGCAGCATGAACGAAAGGTTTGAAGCATGGATTGCTCAGTACGGGCGAGTTTATGAAGACGCAGGAGAGAAGGCTAGGCGCTTTAGCATCTTCAAAAAGAATGTGGCCTTCATCAGTCACTTCAACAAGTTTGGAAATCAGACTTATAAGCTAGCCGTCAATCAGTATGCTGACCTGACCAACAAGGAGTTCAGGGCTGCTAAAACTGGATATAAGAAACCTGCCAATTTCATTAACCCTGCCCCTTCGTCATTCAGATATGAAAATGTGACTTCAGCACCAGATACCATGGATTGGAGAACCAAAGGAGCTGTGAATCCCATCAAGGATCAAGGCCAATGTGGTAAGCTTACTACAAGTCCAAACCTTTTCCATCTTCCTGCCCTGCCATATATGTTGTACCTTTATTAATTGTGTCCCCAAAAAAATCATCGCAGGAAGCTGTTGGGCATTCTCTGCTGTGGCAGCGGTGGAAGGGATCACAAAGATCTCAACTGGGAAGCTGATCTCTCTTTCAGAACAAGAATTGGTTGATTGCGACAGAACCACCAATGACCAAGGCTGCAATGGAGGACTCATGGATGATGCTTTTAAATTTGTCAAGACCAAGGGACTGACAACCGAATCCAAGTACCCTTACTCAGCAGCAGATGGAACTTGCAGCACAGTCAAGACAAACTCTCCTGCTGCCAAGATCAGTGGATATGAAGATGTTCCCGTGAATAACGAGCAGGCATTGCTAAAGGCCGCAGCAAACCAACCTATCGCGGTGGCCATTGATGCTAGTGGCTCTGCCTTCCAGTTCTACTCCAGCGGAGTGTTCACTGGAGACTGTGGAACAGATTTGGATCATGGTGTGGCTGTTGTAGGATACGGGACAAGTGATGATGGTAAGAAGTACTGGCTGGTGAGGAATTCATGGGGGACCAGCTGGGGAGATCAAGGATACATCAAGATGCAGCGTGACGTTGGTGCCAAAGAAGGGCTCTGTGGCATTGCTATGTCAGCTTCTTATCCTACTGCATAAAACAGCAGAAATTAGCTGGATAATATCCATCATCCTGAGGAAAAATGTGTTCTATTTAAAAAGTGTCTTTTATGCAGCTGCCATGATTCCATTTGTATAAGCATTAACGATGCCACATCTTAATATATATCTTTTTCATAACTATTAACTAGGGGGAAAAAACAAAAGAAAACCAGTATAATCATAAATCAAAGCTTATCATTTTAATCAATTATATAATGTCTTCTCATAAAAACAGACTTTTCCACTTTTTACCAAGTTCAATTATTAAATTTGAAGTTTTGAACCAGATTAATTGAGGGAGAATATACAGCAAGAAATTGCGAAATCAACACATTTTGAACAAACAACTCCAGATAGTTCAATTAAACAAGTACTTCCTTCCTTTCTTCACCAGAGCATAGGAAGAAAATGACAAACTTATCGACTCCAAGCTGTCTGCTAACATATTATGGAAGGATGAAAAAATCGCCTATTAAAAAATGCAAAAAACTCTTGTCTGGTAAGGGATGGGGTGGGATTGAGGAAATGGCAAATATTAGTAACAGAAGAGAAACAAGTGACTTACTTTTACAGAGGAGGGCTACTATGTCTTCTTCCCTCCTAGCCATCTTCATTGCAGCAGTAAACAGCAGAACCCAATGTTAAGAGCTACTTCCAAGCAATATCCGCTGAAAATCAAGCACACAGGCAGTGCCCATTTTGTTGGACCATTTCTCTAATGTTTGAAAGGACCCAAACTTGGTTTTCTCAGCCAAGCGACTTCATAAACAAGTGACTGTCTCCGGCTAGATTTTCCTCAAGCAGCATCAGTCTGAACTTAATGAAGGATGCATGGAGAACAATGGAAAATCAGCCTTTACATCCATTTCACCCTTCAGAAAGTTTGTGATGGACCTGACCTCAACCCATCTTGGATGCTTTTTATCAGCAGCCACAAAACTGTGGGTTATTCCATCCACAACCAGAGAACTGCATCCTGCAGTCTTCTTCACTCCTTTACTTCCCATAGCCTCCCTTATCTCGTTAGAATTACACCACTTCCCTTCAGCGGCATACATGTTAGACAACAGCATGTATCCCCCATCATCATCCGGCTCTAATTTTAGAAGCTCCGTCAAAGCTTTCTCCGCTATTTCCTCATCTCCATGTGATTGACAAGCATTCAGTATTGCACCCCAGATTGATCGAGTTGGTTTCATTGGCATTCTTTCAATAACTAGTTTTGCTTCGCCCAACCTTCCTGATCTCCCTAAAAGATCAACCAAACAACCATAGTGCTCAGCACCAGGTTCAATGCCATAGCTTGCCATACAGTTAAATATCTTAATCCCCTGATCCACCAAACCACAATGACTACAAGCTGCAAGGACAGCGATAAAAGTAATTTCGTTTGGAATTAGCTCTTCCTTCATCTTGGAGAAAAGTTCTAGTGCTTTACTTCCATAACCATGAAAAGCAAATGCATTTATCATTGTTGTCCACAACGTGACATCCTTTCTGGTAACAGTCTTGAATATGTTAAAAGATTTTTCCAAATTTCCAGTCTTGTAATACATCTCAACCAGTGCTGAACCGAGATTAGCATCAATGTCCATTTGCCATCTAATTAACAATCCATGCACCGACCTACCTTGTTCCAGACCTCCATACTCAGCTGCTGCAGATACCAAGCAGCCCATTGTGACACTGTCAGGTCTAATATTTTGCAATCCCATGTCATGCAATAATGATTTAATCATTGTAAAGTCACCATAACAAGCATAGCCAGAAATCAATGAATTCCAAGAAAACATATCAGGAGTAGACATTTGATTAAAAAAAGCACGTGCAAGCTCCAAATCACCAAGCTTGGCACACCCAGCAACCATAGTGTTCCATGAAACAATATCCTTCTCCTTCAAAGTCTGAAACAATCTCTCAGCAACTTTCAACTCACGACACTTCACATACATGTCAAGAAGGGCATTACTCAATATCAAATTTGACGAACCGAAAGAGTTTCTCCTCCCTATCCAAGCATGAACAGCCTTCCCCAACTTAACATCCCCTAATTGACCACAGCAAACTAAAAGACCCGACATTGTGAAATCATCAGGCTCAACGTCCAGACCATCCATCCGAAGGACAAGCTGTAGAGCTTCGAAGGGGCACCCTTGCTTGGCATAACCATTAATCATGGTATTGAACGAAACAATATCCGGGCTAGACATGCATTCAAACAACTTACGTGCAAGAAACGTCAATCCACTCTCCAAATAAACCTTAAGAATGAAATTTTGCAGGTACCCATAAGATAACAACCCGAAAACTATAGCATGACAATGTATCTGCATCCATTCCGCGCCAGATTTAGAGGCACGCAGAAGGTAAAGCAGAGTATTCTCGTCAGGGGAAACACCAGAAGAGAGCAAGGAACCATACACGCCGAATGACCGTTTGACTGCAGGGCACAGAGCAGATATCATGGTGTTGTAAATGAACAGATTGGGCCTAGGAGTGAACCGTTCAAAGAGAATCAAAGCCAAATCGAGATTCTCAGGGTAAGAAATCGCGGAGAAGTAAATGAGTCGACTCATGGGGAAAGTCTGTCCAATGAGATTACTTCTCAATACCTGCGCCAATACCTGTTTGAACTGAACCCCATCATTGCATTTCTCGAGCAAAACAAGGGACGGATGATTGAGTTCCAGGGCCACCGTAGGATCCCAGTTGGTGTTCCTATTCTTACCATTTGCAACGCGGCTAAGGAAGCGGAGCCCTCGGCCACAAATGTACATCGGAACGAACCCTATATTGCTTTATTGATTTCAAGGTCGGGGACTTACCCAGCACTGCAAGCTTCATATTTGGGGAGCATCGCTCATTTAGCGGGCTCTGACTAGCAGCAAGTCGAGCGCTTTCCATGGAAGAGTGATCCTGAACATGACGAACTTGTTGCTATCGTACTTCCAAGCCATGGGGGAGCAGATCGGGTGAGTAACCCATCAGTAACCCCCTCTCCTCTCTTCACGTGTCAGTTACTTTTTTTGTTAAATTAAATGCTAAAGGGTAGTAAGGTAAATTACACTTATTCCCTCTTCATTGTTGACACGGACTTTTGACCGACTAGGGATGGCAATGGGTCGGGTCGGGGACGGATAGTGTATATCCGTTACCCTACCCAAAGTAGTTCGGGTTTTACCCATGCCCATACCGACATAAGAAACGGGTAGAAAATCCAAACCATGCCCATACCCGTTCGGTTTTCGGGTATCCACGGTTATCCATGGATAATAGTTTTTCTTTATAACTCCAATCAATATGTTAATATTTACACGTATTCTCACGTTACGTAAGACGAAAAGTACGACAATAATTCACTAGAATGAAGAAAATTAACTAAAACAACACAATTTCATAAAAAAATTTATATTTATATGCTAAATATAAAATATGTTAGAGAAAAATATTGATTATTTCTAGACAAAATACATACGCATATGTAGGGATGGCAATAAAACCCGGACCCGCGGGTACCCGCCCGACCCGACCCGGTCAAACCGGGTAAAATCCGTGTTGACTGGGTTCGGGTCGGGTTCGGGTTAAAACCCGGTGGCTGGCTGGGCGGGTTGGGTCGGGTTCGGGTTTGGGGGAACCCGACCCGTGGATACCCGGATATAGGTAAAACCCTAATATCTCTAATGTGATTTGAATTGAGTCAGTACTCAGTCGACCTCCTCCAACCCCAAATTTTGGCCGCCACCAAACCTCCCAGCAGAGTGCAGAGAGCAGCACGCCGCCACCAAATCCTCCCATCTCCATTCCCGTCGCCGCCCGAATCGGGATCCCGTCTCCATTCCAGTCACCGGCCGCCCTCCCCCTGCTACTCCTCTGCTCTGCGCCTCCAAGTCCCCACCTCCCCGCCGGGCGCCGACAGCCGACGTTCGAATCCATACCGCGCCGCCCTCCCTCTGCTACTCTGCTCCGCGGCCTGCGCCTCCACATCGCCGCCTCCCGCCGACACCAGTCCTGCCGCCCTTCAGTCCCGCCGCCCTCCTCCTTCTCCTCTGCTCTGCGCGTAGTCTCCACATCCCGCCAACGCCGACGGTCCACACCCGCCGCCCTCCTCCTGCTTCCTCTGCTCCGACCCTTCCCCTGGTGGGTGTAAGTGAACTCCCTCTCTCATTCTAACTAACGCATGGGTGCTTGCTTTTTTGTGCATATTACTCACTACTCTAACTAGTTGCACTGATAGAATGTGCTAGCTCATCCATGTTGTAATATCAGCCTTAGCTTCCGTTCATCTGGTTTATGGCCGAACCAAATTGTATTGGTGAGCTAGTTGCCTATATTCTTATTCTGGACACAAAATCCTTACCATCTCGGAGTTACTTGGTAGTCGGCTGGTTTGACCCTGCCATTTGTTCCTAAAGACTAAAACAGATTGGCAGACGCTCCGAATAATACCTAAGTTTGGAGCATTATGGCAAGTAACATGGTCCCAAAATTTTGTGTGAATCCATGCCATCTGGGAACTAGATGATTATTTGATTATTGTCTGGTTTAAACCTACTGTTTGATAATGTGTGAACTTGTTTTGTTGCTCCGACCCTTCCTCTGATACTGTGTGAACTTGTTTGATAATGACTGTATGCTAATCTTCCTTTCTTTTCTCATTATGAAGTCTTTTCCTTCAAGAGTCTGGAACTTGAAAGTTTCTGTGGCAGTATTTGTACAAGGCTAAGAAATGTTCTTATCTGTATTGTATCTAGTGAATGAGATAACAACACCATATAATTTAATGATATATATCCCACTATGATATTTGTTTGTGATTTGCTTGAATTTTCTAGAATGGTATGTTTAAGTATGGATAGTTTGTGTTACGAGATTGATGCTTAATTTTCTAGAATGGTATGTTAATTGTTATTTTAAATTTTTTATCAAAAAACCCACGGGTACCCACGAACCCGCGGATACCCAGCGGGTTGGGTTGGGTTTGAGTTTTTCAAACCCAGCGGGTTTTACCCCGGGTTTTTTTGTCGGATAAACCCAGCGGGTTGGGTTTGGGTTTGGCAAAACCCGCCCCAACCCGACCCATTGCCATCCCTACGCATATGTATAATCGGGCGGGTTCGGGTTGGATAGTGAGAAAACCATGCCCACCCATTACCCGAAATATTCGGGTTCGGGTTTTACCCGTACCCACTAAAAGTCCTTCGGGTTCGGGTTTTACCCTACCCGATTAGGTCGGATTCGGGCGGATATCCAAGGTTACGGATATTTTTGCCATCCCTATGACCGACCACATCAGGACCTCCTTCTCTTCCCTAGAAAAACCTTTAATTTTTCTTCCCTTAATCTTTAACGGACGATTTCTCACTCGTTTTAAGTCGAAATTTAATTTTTTTTGCACAGTTAGATCAGATTAATTATGCTCTTCAAAATGATATCCACTTTGATATTGTTTTGACACAAAAAAAAATTTCCAGTTATTACCAGTCTATACTATATGGTATCGACTATACCATAATACTATATGGTATTGACTGGTATTAAATAAGAGCATACCATATGGTATGAATTTGCCACATCAATATATATTTCGTTACCACCCAATATCATATGGTATAGTGTGGTAATATCAATATATATTTCGTTACCACCCAATACCATATGATATAGTGTGGTAATATTCAATATATATTTCGTTATCACCCAATACCATATGGTATAGTGTGGTAATATCAATATATATTTCGTTACCACCCAATACCATATGGTATAGTGTGGTAATATCAATATATATTTCGTTACCACCCAATACCATATGGTATAGTGTAGTAATATCACACAATACCATATGGTATAGAGTGGTAATATCAATATATATTTCGTTACCACGCAATACCATAAATTACCATAGGGTATAGTGTGGTAATATCAATATATATTTCGTTACCACCCAATACCATATGGTATAGAGTCATAATATCAATATATATTATCTAAAAGGAAAAAAAAGGAGGGAGAGAAAAAAATCGTCTTCTGATGCCTCTCATTTCCTCTTCCCCAATCAAGAACACCAAAATGCCAAAAAAATGAGAAAGATCGGAATTGAGTCCAACGAGTTGATGAAGATAAGAAATGCAATAAAAGAGAGTGACTATAATTTTTATGCTAGAGAAAAAAAATGAAGAAGAAAGAGAGCAGATCTAGATTTGAAAATGAGATTGTGAGAGAAAAAGTAAGAGAGAAGGAATAGAGAAAGAGAAATTATCTGGAAAGAGATTGTAAAAAAGGAAGAGAGAAGGAAGAAAGTTGAGTTGCAGAGACAAGACTTCTCTCTCTTTCATTGAAAAAGCCAGCATTGAAATGCGGAATAAAATAAAAAAAGTAAAAATACAAAAACGGACAAAAATGCCCCTCAACACCCCCCATCCAGCCCAGCCACACGATTGCTCCATCCCCAAATCTACGGTCCGCGTGTGATTACTGATGGATCAGTAACCAGTGGTTACTGACCCTATCTTGGGCCAAGCCATTGAGCTCGAGCCGATGGATAGCACAGGAAGAAGGGAAAAGAGTTTGGAAAAATCAGCTCTAGATCTCTGGAGATGGGCGGAGCCTGGTCGAGAGGAAAAATTTTCAAAATACACGTGAAAATTCCAAAATATCTACGTTTGGTGAAATTTTTTTAATTTACACATTTTTAAACATCATCCCAACCAAACATGTGTAGATTGGAAATTTTTCATAAAATGTGTGTATTTTAGAAATTTTTTAATAACGTATATATTTTGGAGAAAATTCGTAAATATAGGTAATAAATTAAAACTATCTCGCTCGTTTAATTCTATTACAATTCAAAATGACTAAACGTCTCGAGTCGTAATGTGATTAAACTAATAATTCCATTGATCCCAACATAATTGAACCGACTAACTCGTAATCCGATCGATCCCATTTTAACTGAACTCGCTCGATTGACCTAAATAATTACTATATTATATAATACATAGTTTTTTACAATGAATTTTTTGCTTCAAAAAATGAAATTCACTTGGAATGATTTATTATTTAGTAAAATTAAAAAAATTAATTCCTTGAAGTTGACATTCTTTAACAAAGTTAAAAAAAAATAAACATGAAATATTTAATTAGCACAATTCCAAATATTACAACTAAATGGTTAAAAATTGAGCCAATATATAACATTAATATAGTACATGTACATTAAAATAGTAGTTAATTAACTATTCAACAAAGTTATCGATTAATTTAAACATAGTTAAGTAATGAATTTGATAATTTTATTGTTTAAAAATGAGAATTTTTTATGTATTCAACTTCTTACAAAAGAGAAAAGAGGAAAATTTGTGCTTTCAGTTTTTGAAAAACGAAAGAAATAGGAAATTCAATGCTTTTGATTTACGTTAAGAAAAAGAAGTGATAAATTTTGGTACATTTTATTTATGGGAAAAAATATTTTAAAACGAAAACATAGAATTACTAAATCTACAAACTTTCAAGTGATAAAATAAAGCGATATAAGATACAATTTCAATCTATTCGTAAATAATTTTCAACAACAATGCATTAACCGACTAGAACTTCAAGTTTTCAAAATATCACACATAATTGATAATTTGCAACATGAAATTAATTTAGTTTTGAACATTTGTATCAATGCATAGACAATGTCTTAGTCACTAAATGCTAAATTCTTGAACCATCATATGTAAACATTGTGATAATCAAATTGATAAGTAATTAAGTATATGAAATATATGTAAAA